TATACAAATACATATATGCCTAGGATAACAATTAATGAGCAAAGCGATTGTTAATTTAAAGGAGAGCAGAGAAAGATGTATGGGAAAGCTTGAAGGGAGGAAAGGGAAAAGAAAATGTAATTCAATTACAATCTTAATTTTTTTTAAAGAAATTAAAAGATTTGGGAGCGATTCTTGAATATATTTGCTAGCATGCTAAGCAACAGTAAGCCTGGATATAAATGGTACCCACCCTTTGCTTTTCCAATAAATAAGGGAACATTGGCATAATCAAAATAGGGTGAAATATAAATAGCTAGACAAGTACCATCGTCTGATACTCAAAGCATCATGCATTTTTATAACCTCAAATTATTCAGATTGATTGTGCTCTCTTCATTTCTCTACAGAGCTACACATGGGGTCTTTCTTTTTCTGTCTTAGGAAGAGCCAAGAAGATTTTTAAGAGCTTTATTTAAGACAAAGAATGAAGTTATACAATGGAAAAATCCAAGTGGGTAATTTTGAAAAAGAAAACGTGAATACTAACAGAAAATTGGGTTTCTAACACTTCAATATGAAGTGAGGAGCCCCAAATAAAACAGGAAACCATCTTACAGTATGGCCATATACCTCATGAGCAAAAGGGAGACTGAACGGTTTCCCAGAGTCTAAGTTTCTCTGCGCATTCTCTTCTAGCTCTGACTTGTTTTAATTTACATGATTGTTTTCTTCTCATTAACTTCTTAGCAAACAAAATAATGGATTTCACTCTGGCATTTAAAATATATGTATCATTGCGCTGTGCTCACGTTCACCTCCAGCTGTCTTTACCCAATCTTGTCATATGCTCTTTAAACAAATTAGGTGGCCTTGGTCTCAGGTTACGTTTCCACACTGTCGCTGAGCATCAAGAGCTAAAGAATGGATCAGCAGCCTTGGGGCCCCTTCTCCCACTCTACCCTGGGTCATTTTATTAAGCTTCTTTTCTCTTGAGGTTCCTTCTCTGTTTGATGAAGCTAGTTCAATGTAATACATATATACCCTGAGAAAACTTACAAAATGATCCATAATTCTGTGAAAGTGTCCTGTCATGGTTGCTGTGTAAGAACAAGACACTGAAATAAGTGATCATCAAGGTTTCATAGAATTGATACCTACTGTTTCTTTAGAGGCATTCACTTCATGGCAATTTAATAACCGTTAAGCTTTTATTCATGTTTGCTAGAATTTATCTACCATCAAAAAGTACCATCAAAGCTGTAGAAGTAAGGAAACCATTAGAAAAGAATGTGCCGTAAATGAAAAATTTTGCCTTGGTTTCTT